TACCTCTCCAACACTCCACCTTCCAGCTCTGCGCCTTTTCCCTGGCTGTCCCCCATGTCTGGAACGCTCTTCCTCCTCACCTTTGCCCCCTTAGTTTCTTGGAGTCTTTCAAGACTCAGATCAAACACCATCTTCTGCAGGAGGCCTTTCCTGTTTGCCCCAGCTGCTAGAAACACCCTCTCTCGTATTGCCTTCCACCTAGTCTGTTTGTATGTACCTAACTTATCCACACTTTGTCTCTCCCGTTAGAATATAAGTTCCTTGAGAGTGAGGGTTTTTGGTTTTTGCTTTTCTTTGTATGAGATACTTACTCCCTGTGTGAGCCTGGGCAAGTCACCTAACATCTCCCAGCCTTAGTTTCATCATCTATAAAATGGGAATAATAATAGCCCCTACTTCCCAGAGTTCAGAATCAAATGAGATAAATACCTGTAAAGTGTTTAAGCACAGCCCCTGGCACACAGTAAGAGCTTAATAAATGCTTGTTGACTGGCTGAGCCTCAAAGGCAATCCATTCCACTTTTGGACAACTTTGACTATTGAAGTTCTTCCAGACTCCAAGCCTAAATCTGCTTCTCGGCGTCTCTCTCCTCCACGCCCCCATTCCAGTTTTCCCCTTTGAGGCCATAAGACTAGTCTGCCTTCTATATTACAACCCTTCAGATGCCCTTGTCCATGCCAATGACAACATCGTTCTGTTTCTGCTTCACGCCTTGATTGTCCACTTCTGGTGCCTGGATTTTCTCACGTGAACATATCTTGTAAATTTTACTATTTAGTCTTTCAGTCCTGTCCGATTCCTTGTGACCCCATTTGGCATTTTCTTTGCAGAGATACTGGAATAGTTTGTCATTTTCTTCTCCAGCTCATTTGGCAGATGAGGAAACTGAGGCAAATGCGGTCAAATGACTTTCCCAGAGTCACAAAGCTGGTAAGTATCTGAGGCTGGATTTGAACTTAGTGAGATGAGTCTTCTTGACTTCAGGCCCAGCCCTCTATCCACTGGGCCACCTAGCTGTCCCTTATTTTCCTCATTCTCTTTTTTTTTTCTCATTCTCATTTTCAAGATGAAAAATGAGACAAAAACAAAAAACTGCTGCTCAAGATGACAGAATTACAATTAGAAGATACCTCAGGGTATCTACTACACACACACACACACACACACACACACACACACACACACACTCACACACACACTAACCCCTCTTATTTTATAGATGAGAAAAAACTAAGGCCCAGGGACCTAAAATGATTTGCCCAGGCTCACACAGGAATTAAGTGTTGGGGAAGGGGTGGGGGGGTGAAATCTGAACCCAGGTCCTATTGTTGCTGAGTTGAGTTGAATCAAGTCCAATCTAAGTTAAGCTCTGTAATGGCAGGAATTGTTTTCTTCTCGTCTCTGAATCCTCAGCACCGTGGTACAGTGCTTGGCATACAGCAGACACTTAGCAAACGCTTGTTGGATTAGAATGGACTAGAAAGAAAGCATGGTGCAGCGGAAAGAACGCTAGATCTGAAGTCAGAGGATCTGGGTTCAAATGTTACCTCTGCCATTTGCTATCTCTGTGCCATTGGATCTCAGTTTCCTTATCTCCACTAGACGGCCTCTGATGTTCCTTTTGGTCCTGAACTTGTGAATCCTGTGACTTGGGTTTGAGGTGGAGAAAGTCCAATTCCCAGATTTCTGTTTAAGGTCAAGAGAACTGATTGAATCTGAAGGGAAGGGAAAGTGATAGTTGGTGAGCCCAACATGACCCAAGGTTTTGAACCTTGGCGACTGGAAGAACGACAGTATCATTGATAAGAAGAGGGAAGGTCGGAAGGGTGGACTGGGCAGCCTTTATCTGTGACCTGGTCATTCATTAACAAGCCTACCTCTCAACTTGAAAACTGGGAGCACTGGCCTCAAGCGCTCAACCTACTGGCCCATTCAAAATGGCAGCCCAGCACCCATGATGGGGCAGTCTGCCAATGCCCGTGTTCCTCAGTACCATCTAATATTGCAGAATTTGGTCAGATGTCTACTTCTTGTCATGTCCCACGCTCTCTTGGTATATGTGTGTGTCAGCATGGAAATGGACATTCGTGTGGTGGTGGATAAAGGTCACACATATACGTGCTTATTTATAGATAGCTTGCAATTACATCCGCCTTGCTGGACTCAGTGACTCACCTCTACCCTCATTAACTCAACCTTCAGAGTCGCCCTTTAAAATAAAAAAATCAATAAAGAGATGGCTCATCCCCTTCACTTTCCATGCTTTGACCAAAGACAGCCCAGATTAAGATTGAATTGAAAGACCTTTTGAGAACAACACAAAAGCATAGGCCTCAGAATCCCAGCATCCCTCCACCTCCCCAAACCCACAGACCGAAATGAACATTAATGGACATTTGTGAATGCATTTCTAAGGGAGACATTAGAGATTACCTCTACATCAGCAGCCCTGGTAAAGAAAAGGGCAAAGTGTCTGGAGGTGGTATGGTTGAGACACTGAACTTTAACCCCAGATTAAAAAAAAAAGTGGTTAAAATTTTGTTTTCTTAGTCTTAAGGAGAATCAGAATTCCAACTGAAGAAAGAAGGTCAAACAAGTAGAGATGGGAATAGCAGCCTATTTGAGCCCTGTTTTGTCGGGGAATAGCTAAGAGGACCAGTTAGAAGGTCATTCAGAGCTGGCTCCCTGTTCTTTGGGCAGGGTGAGTAATATTTTCCCCAAGAAAGTGGGTTGAAGTTAAGAGGAAACACTGGGATGTCTGCCAATCTGCCAATCCTCAGTCATCCCAATGGCAGGTGTCAACAGAAGGCCCACTGTGTATGGACAGACCAAGAAAAAAAAATAACCCCTGTGTTGTAGAGGACTTCACAACCGAATTTATAACCAATCAATCAACATGCATTTATTTATTAAGTGCTACTGTATGCCAGGCACTGAAAATGAGAAACAAGCATTGATTAAGCACCTATTATATACCGGACACTGTGCTAAGCGCTTTACAATATTATCTCATTGGATCCTCACCACGACCCTTGGAGGTAGGTGCTGTTATATTCCCATTTTGCAGTTGAGGAAATTGAGGCAAAGAGATGTTAAGTGACTTGCCCAGGGCCACACAGCTAGGAGATGTCTGAGGCTGGACTGGAACTCAGGTCTTCCTGATTCCATGCTCTATCCCCACCTAGTTGCCTCTAGCTGGGCAGGGATTCCATGAAGGAGACACACGAAGCTACCCCTCTAATAGAGGGAACAATGAGTGTACATCTCAGTGCGCAAAGTACAAATGGAGAATAAGGAGAAAACAAATCCTAAGCAGTGGGAGAAATTGGGAGAAAGGGAGTTAGCATTTGGGGGATGATGAAAGGCTTCAGGCAGAAGGTGAAGCAAGAGGGGGACTCCATGCAAAGACTAGAGGAGAAAGTGCACTCTAGGCCGCCGGGATGTCCAATGCAAGTGGAATTGGGAGCCAGGCCATGAAGGGCTCTCACAGCTCAACAGAAGAATTTGTATTTGCTTCCACAGAAGCCATAAACTGATGTTTACTGAACAGGACAATGACCTGGCTAGATGCAACTGAAGACTTTCTAGCTTGGATGCATATAGGTCCAGAGTCATAACGAAGGTGGAGATAGCTATGGGTCCCTTTTACTAGGGGACCTGAGTTTAGAGGGCGTTGACAGTGTTTGAGTCCTTCTGCAGCAGAGAAACCACACAGCCTAAGTACCTGGTTAGCCAAGACCATTAGCCTTGTTAGAACAGGAAATGACCAGATGGCCCTTCTTTCTCCACCCCTTGGTACCTGCACCCAAGGAGAACGCCTCCTCCCCAGCCTCCTTCCCAACTCCCACAACCCCAGGGCTTGGGTAACTTTTGCTCCTATCCCAGGAGTGTTTTGTAAAGTGCAAAAAAATGTTAGTTATTGCTGCTTCTGGGTATGCCCCACCAATTTGGCACTGGAATATAGGCTCTTCAAGTCACCATGCACTATTGACCTCATTTTTCTTCCAAAGAATTTATGGTTTGCAAAGATTCTTAATCATTATATAGCAGGTAATCGAAATAATTCTTCCCATTAAGCTTTAAGAGACGCTTGATTGACTTGCCCTGAAGTTTAAGTAAATTGGTGTTTCCTACCAACACCCTGAAGGCAGATTTGAAGTTTTCCTGGGCTTTGGGTCATAAAGCAAATTCTTTCATGGTTTGCTTCCCTTCTCCAGGCTGATACAGGACCAGGCAGCAGCAAGGGTGTAAAAAGCCAGGCCATTCTTAGAAGAGATAGTAACATCCTTCATATTTATGTGGTCTTCTGGATAAGTTTTCTACATGTTACAGTGGCCTCTGAATTGGTTTCTCTGCCTCCAGCTTCTTTTCCCCTTGATCCATCCACACAGCTATCAAACAGTGTAATGGCAATAGCAACCCCCTCCTTCCCCAGGAGAAGATTTTCACTGGCTCGCTACTGCATCTAGAACGAAGTACAAAGAGTGGGACGTGACTGAACAACAACCATCAACTCTTGGGGGCAGCTAGGTGGCACAGTGGATAGAGCACCGGAGAACCTGAGTTCAAATCCCGCCTCAGACACATAACACTAGCTGTGTGACCCTGGGTAAGTCACTTAACCCCCATTGCCCGACCCAAAAAACAAACAAACAAAAAAACCCCATCAACTCTGAGATCATGTGAAGGTAAAATAATATAGTAGATAGAGAAACAAACAGAATCAGACAGACCCAGATTCAAGTCCTTCCTTTGACATATACTGACTGTGTGACCCTGGGTAAGTCACTTAACATCTCAGTGTCCCAGGGAGATCCTATAAATTGCTGAGCAGTTGTCAGCAATGAGGCACAGGGAAGAAAGAAAGTGTTGGCTTTAGAATAGGAGGACCAGAGTTCAAATCCTTGGTGACTCTGGCCAGGTTACTTAACCTTCCTTGGGACTCAGTTGCCTCATCTGTAAAATGAGGGCGATTGGATTAGTTGGTCTCTGAGGCCCATTCTATATCTATGACCTTTATTGATATTTGGTATTTTTTCACATCAATCAATCAATAAGCACTTATTAAGTGCTTACTGTATGCTCCACTGGGGATACAAAGACAAAAAGCAAATATAATTCCTATTTACACTCTAATGGGGAAAGGGGGGGACAACTGGTCCATATAAATGCACATTACAAAACATATTTATAAATATGTGATCAGGCCTTCCTTCTACGCACAGCCAGGAACTTTTAAAGCCTCCTTCTGACTACGTATGAATCATCCACTTAGAGTCTTCTAATTGGTTGCCGGATGGGAAGAGCTGATGATATGGGCTACCACACCTGGTTAAAATGGAAGCTCCCAGATAATGGTCTGGCTTGGACAAAGTCCTCTAGGTGGCAACATATGTTGGTCCGTCTCCACCAGACATGATTTCAACAATTATCACCATAGATTCAGCTAGCTAGGCTTATACCTGGCCTCTAGTTACCTTTGCCTATCTGGTGTGGTTCCTCCTTTTGCATCAACTTCGTAAGCATCAAAAGATTAGTAGCCATAGAGATTAACACAGCAACACTAAGGAAGAGATCGTTCCAAGCAGTGACAAGAGTCGGATAGCTGGAGAGGGGTTACCAAAAGGAGGTCAAACTGGGCTATTTGACAGTTCGATGCCAGTAGAGATGAGTAATTGGTAGTGCTGCAAAAACTATTTTGTGTCCCAAAGAGGCTTCAATATTAATTAGCCTCTCAGCTGATTGTATTACCACTAATAAGTTACTGAATCTTGTTTGAATCATTCTGTTAATGTACACTGTGTTTCTCTTATGTTTATTGTTAGTCGCCGTGTAGGAATAAATAGCCTGTCATATACTTGTGCATATTGTGCACATCTTTCACTTTCCCCTTTTTTAGGGAAACTTGAGGATTGTCCACAGAGTGGCTAGGGTGGGAGTGATGACTCAATGAGTGTAAGAATGGGAAGCCTAATTCCCTCATTGAGAAACTGGGCTTTCCCAAAGCTGAATCCAAGCTAACCACAGCGGCTACATAAAGGGTGGTGATACAGATCACCAGTTCCTGTGGACATATTAAGAGATTCCTCTGGCCTCTAAGTTAGAGAGATACATACAAAGCATCCACATAACAATGAAAATCACAGGTCCAATAAAAATAAAATAAAATAAAATTTACCTCTGTCCCACTATCAATCTTGCATGACCACTGCCATATGTCAATAAGGACTAAAGTAGGTAGGTAGGTAGGTAGGTAGGTAGATAGATAGATGTTAAAAGCTCAATAAGTACTTTATGTACCATATACTGTGGTAAATGCTGGGTTACAATTAAAAGCAAATGAGATAGTTCTTTCCCTCTCAAAGAATTTGTATTCTGTTGGGGGGAAGACAATACACAGAGGGGATCTGGAAAGAGAGTGGGGAGGGTCCGTATAAAGAATATGGCTGTTGTTGAGAAGTGGAGAGGGAGTGGAGTCAGGAACAATGTTAATGACTGAATCTTTTACAATTTGCTAATACTCATTTCTTGGAAGTAGGTTTCCTATCAGCTTTACAGCCTTGAACAGAACAATATGGTGTCCTTGACCTGGAGAAAATTCTGTTCCATGTTTTCCAAACTACCCTAGCTAGTTTGAAACAACCAATCACCAATGGTAGCTGTCTTCTTTCCAGTGTTATTTCTCTTCAATATCTATAGGGTTGAATGTCAGGGTCAATGCTTCCTGGCTCAAATGACTGCTCAAACCAGATGGTCTCTTTTCAAGTTGGTGACTCATTATTTTCTGGAGTAGGACCCGGGCACATGCACACACACACACACACACACACACACACACGTTTCTATTAAAAGAGGGGAGTTGGACTGCATACTTGTCTCCTAGTTAAACCTCCCTGTTTATATTCCTATTTCTCCAGGCATAGATTTTTAGCATAATTGGTCCAGCTACAGTGAACACCAAGTTTCTGGAATGATTCATCTCACAGTGACTTGGAGCCCCATCTGGCTTTTAAACAAAGATTTCCAAGAACAAGATTTTGGAAGGAAAAAAACCCCACACACAACAAAACCCGTCCTTATTATGATAGCACTAAGAGGTTATTTTAAATGAATGAGTAAGTATGTTAATGAACAACAGAGAGACTTTAGAATCTATTCTCGTTGAATCCCAGGAAGAAGACTCAGAATCTGGGCGATTTCTTTGATGATTCATCTTTTTTTTTTTTGGTTGCAGTTTAAAAAGTGGTACATGAATCACTGGTGAATGGTTCTATTGCCTCCAGTTCCTTAGGAAAGAGCTTATTTATCTGCTGACTTTGAAACTCAAGTCCGGAGCCCCAATCTATCCTTTTGGTCTTCCTCCTGGAGAGAGTCAAAACCTAAAAAAATTATTCTGAAAAAGAGAATTTGTGAAGAAAAAGAGAATTTGTTCATGTGAACAGAAATAGTTATAGTCAACAAGCATTTATGAAATACCTAGTATGTACCAGGCACTGTGCTGAGCACATTAATAATAATAATAAAAACATCTAATTTGATCCTTACCACAATTCCAGGGGATAGGTGTCATTATTATCTTCATTTTACAAACATTGGGGAAGTTGGGAAAGCCAAGGTTACAAAGCTAATTAAGTGTCTGAGGCTACATTTGCACTCAGGTCCTTCCTGATTCCAGAGCCAACACTCTGTCCACTACACCACAGGATACCTGTACAGAGTAAGGCAAAAAACACTGTCCTTGTTCCCAAGGAGCTCACAATCTGTAAGTGGAGACAATATGCAAACAATTAAGTACAAACAGGATTTAGGATAAAATGGAGATAATCCATTGAGGGAAGGAATTAGCATTTCCCAGAATGGAAATTAAGGTGATACCCACTTACTGAGGAATAGTTAAACAGACAAATGAAGGTTGAAGGTAATGGGATATTTCTGTGCCATAAGAAAGAATGAAATGGACTGTTTCTGAGGAAGAAATACTCCACATGCTGACACAGAATGAAACGTGCAAAACGAGGAGACTATACAATGACAATACCATGGTGAAACCAAACAACTTTACAAGACTTTAGAACTCTGATCGTTAGAACGATAAAACACAGGTTGAGAGAAATAAAGATGAATCATGCCACTCACTTCCTGCCTTGGAGCTGAAGGATTTAAAAAGCAGAATGACACATTTTTGGGCATCGTGGCCAATACATATTTGTTATGAAGGTTTTATTCATTTTTTTTGTCATTCAATAAGGGGGTGGGGAGGAAGTAGGAAGGAGAAGCAATAAATGTTTGTAAAATAAAATAAGTAAATTTGAAAAATAAACATGGTTCACTCATTTTGTAAATGAAAGAGAATGTGCATTCAATAAATGTTAATAGCAGCTTTTTTTTTGTGGTAGTGGCAAAGAACTGCAAACCAAGAGGATGTCCATCAACTGGAGAATGGTTGAACAAGTTACAGTGTTTGAATGTAATAGAGTATTATTGCATCCTAAAAGAAATCTTGGACAGTATGAACTGATTCAGAATAAACTGCACAGAACCAGTGGACAACTTATTCAATAACAACATGAAAGAGACAAACAACTCTGAAAGACTTAAGAACTCTGATCCATGCAGTGACCCATCACAATTCTAGAGGGGTGGTGATGAAATATGCCATCACCTCCTGACAGAAAGGTGCAGCTTGTGTAACTTGAGTGGCCTGGACAGATGAAGTTTGGCTCCCAGAGAAAGGTTATAAGCTCCCTTTTAGAATGTGAGTAGCCCCGAGGAATCAGGGCATAAGCATGGCGGATGTATATCTAATCTGTGTTTGGCTCCTGATGCAGACCCTGCTGCCACCTTCTGCCATCCCATGGAGAAAATCCTAGGATGCTTATCAGATGGGAAGTCTCAAATCCCTCAGACCCTTCAGAACTTGTAGATTCCTTCTCCAATTCAAAGCAGGATGGGGGAAGGAGACCTAGGACAAAGCCAGAGGAGAGAGCTTGCCTTTTCCTCCAAGCGAGATTAGTTGGAAAGTCAGGGAGGTTAGCTGGAAAGTCACAGTTACTCCAGTTTTTGGACTGCCTAAAATTCTAACTAGCTTGATAATTTATAGATAAATGACCAAATTTCCGTGGTGTCTTGGAAAACTATTCCTGTGCAACATCTCTCCAATTCGCTCCAGTTGGAAGAATTTTCCACGTTTAGTCTAAAACCTATGGTTGACTGAGCATCTTGTCACTTTAATGGGGTGGGGTGACTTTATTAATTTACCCAGTCATCTTACTCTTACAGAGGTTATAGACTCAAAGTACAGAATGAAACCTACATTCTCAGAGACCAATTTGTTTTGCTTGAATATGCATATTTGTTACAAGGGGGTTGTTTTTCTTTTTTTCTTTTCCATTAGGGATGGAGAGATGAGAGGCAGAGGAGGAATAATATTGGGGTTGCCAAGAAAGGAAGAAATTAAAAAAGGGCCATAGAATCATTTTTACAACACACAGAAGAGAACAGAAGAAAGGCAAGAGGGAAACACAGATAAGTAGGATAGCCCTGAAAGTTACACATTGAATTTATTATATACTTAAAAGGTCATCATACTAGAGGCACAATTTCATGTGTAATTCTATTTTTCTGTTCTACTTTGCATTTGGAAATGTTCATTTTATTTGGAGTTAAGTTCAAAAGAAAAAAATATTACCATTGAACCTTGACCCTTCCTCCAGGAAAACCTTCAGGTAAGAAAGTTTAGGAATAACTCCATTGATAAAATGTAAATCAGTTGAGGGCAGGAACTGTTTCATTTTTTCCCTTTTGTATCTTCCCTACCTAGGTTGCCACATAAGGCATCACTTGTTGATTAAATAAGGAAAGACATGACCACAGCCTATTTTTGTCATAGGATCACATAGGTCAGAGCTCAGAAGGAGTTTGGAAACCATCCAGTCACAGACTGAGAAATGAAAGGGACCTCAGAGCTCATCTACTCCAGCTCCGTCATTTTACAGTCAAGGAAACTGAGGCCCAGAGGAGATTACATTCCTAGCCCAAGGCCACACTGCTTACACTTGTCAGAGAGAGGATTTGAACCCAGGTTTATCAATTTTATTTGCACTCGAAAGAAACAGAAAGCTTATAGAAAGAACTGAGTTTATCTTTGAAATTCAGTTTTGTGGATTCCCATATTTCAGTCATTTTCTTGCCCAACAAACTCAGTGGATTTGAGATATCTTTAGGGGAAAGGAGTAGGGAATAGGGGAAGGAGATAAGCATTTATTAGATGTCTACTACGCCATAGGCACAGTGCTAAGCATAATTTGGATCTACTGGCCAGGAGGGATATCTTTTCCTAGGACAAGAAAGAGTAGCTTGGATCAAATGTTCTCCGTTTTCAAAAAAAGGAACTTCTTAACATTTTCTGGAGGAGTGATTCCCAACTTGTGAACTGCAGTTAAAGGATGGGGTCTGGGGAGAGAGACTAAGGAGTTCTTTTTTTTTTTCCCCTTGGCAAGGCAATTGGGGTTAAGTGACTTGCCTAGGGTCACTCAGCTGGTAAGTGTTATGTGTCTGAGGCCGGATTTGAACTCAGGTCCTCCTGACTCCAGGGCATGTGGGGAGAGGGGAGCTCTATCCATTGCACCACCTAGCTGCCCCCCCTGAGGAGTTCTTTTAAGGGCTCCATCCGTATAACCACCAAATATCTCCAACAAAATATGTAGATGACAAGCCGTGAGGAGGGTCGAATTTCTGGCAGTTCAGGAAGAAGAAAAAGAACAACAGTGCTTTTCCTGGCTTGTTTACTGCCTTTGAACACCCTTACCACCTAAAGTCTGAGGTCTGAGGCATGTGTTGTGAGTGTTTATTTATGGGTCTGGTTTTGCTGACAAGTATTAAATATGCATTAAACAATTAAAACATGCAGCGTGACTCAGGATCATAAACACACAAACCTTCCTTCTGGTAGGCTGAAGGTCTCATGCATGTGTACAAACGTATGTTGTATGTGTTGTTTCAAGACTGTGATCTCATTAACGCTGGGAGCCCATAGTACAGAAATTGATCAGCATCTCACTGTGCCCTTACAGAGTTGCCTGGGGCACTAAGAGACAGAATGAATGGCTGACCCAATCAATCAGTAAGCATTTATGAAGCTTCTACTAGGTTTTTGTTGAGTTGGCTCAATCTGGTCTGAATCTTCATGACCCCGTTAGGGATTTTCTTGGCAGAGATACTGGAGTGGTTTGCCATTTCCTTCTCCAGCTCATTTTACAGAGGAGAAAACTGAGGCAAACAGGATGAAGTGACTTGCCCAGGGTCACACAATTAGGAAGTGTTGGAGGCTGTATTTGAACTCATGAAGATCAGTCTTCCTGCTTTCAAGGCCTGTGCTCTACCCACTATGCCACCTAGCTGCCCAGGTACTGGGTTCTAAACACTGTGAATATAAATAAAGGCAAAAACAGTCCTTGCCCTCAAGGAGCTTATATTCTAATGAAAGAAGCAACATATAAATTGTTAGGTACCTATGAGACAGATGCAGAGTAGAAAACTGAGAAGAGGAGGTGAGGGGGGCAGAGCATTCCAGGCATGGGAAAGATCCAGTGCAAAGGTGCAGAGGTGGGAGAGGAGCCCCATGCTAGAGGAGCAGCAAGTAGGAGAGTGAGGAGGGTCATATAGTGTAAGAAGACTAGAATGATTGGGAGGGGCCAGGTTGTAAACAGACAACATGCAGCCGGGCCACCTCCTACTTTCCAGTCTTCTTACACCTTCTTGCCCCACACATACTCTTCCAGCCAGTGATGCTGGCCTCTTGGCTGTTTCACAAACAAGAACCTCCATCTCTGGACTCTGGGTGTTTCTCTGACTTTCCCCTACGCCTGGAATGCTCTCCCTCCTTCACTCCAACTACTGACCTCTCTGGCTTCTTTTAAGTCCCAATTAAAATTCCCCCTCCTATGGGAAGCCTTCTCTGACCTCTCTTAATTCCACTACCTTCCCTCTGTTAATTATCTCCTATTTATCCTGTATATAGCTTGTCCATACCTATATGTTTGCATTAGATTATAAGCTCCTTGAGGGTAGAGGCTGTCTTTTGACTCTTTTTGTAACTCCAGGGATGAGCACAGTGTCTGGCTTAATAAATGGTTATTGAATTGAATTATTGAATTGAACTTAGTCTTATAGAGTTGTCTACGGTACTGATAGTAACTTGTCCAGGGGTCCATAGATAGTGTGAGATAGAGGATTTGGACTTACATCTTCCTGGCAACCAAAGATGGTGATCAGGCTGTGTCAAGTGAGGATGAATTGAAGGAACTGGGTATGTTTGTTTAGTCTGGAAAAGAAAAGATTTAAGGGAGACCTGAGAACTGTCTTTACATCTTTGAAGACCTGTCATGTGGAAGAGAGATCTGACTTCTGTTTGGCCCCAAAGGACAGGACCAGAAATAAGGGTTGGAATTGCTTGGTGCCAGGAAAAACACACACACACACACACACACACACACACACACACACACACACACACACACACCCCTTCCCAACAATGAGAGCTATTCATAAGTGGAATGAGATTCTGAGAGACGTGGAGAGAAAGGAAGAAGAGGGTTCCTTCCTTGGAGGTCTTCCATCAGAGGCAAGATGGCCCCTTGTTATGTATGTTGTAGTGGGAATTCCTTTGGGTACGGGTTAGACTTGACAGCTGCTGGGGTCCCTTCCATCTCTCAGATTCTGTGATTCCTGACTTCTCCATCCTCTATAATGGGATACTTCCTCTCTCCATATATTGTAATTTATATTACTCTTCTTCATACATACACAGTAATAATAATAGCTGGCCTTTTTATAGCACTTTAAGGTTTGCAAAGCATTTCACATGCATCATCTTATTTGATCCTCACAACAGCTCCGGAAGGTAGGTGCTGGTATTATCCCTATTTTACAGATGGGGAAACTGAGGCTGAGGAAGGTTAAGTAACCTGCCCAAGGTCACACAACTAAATAAGTGCCTACAGCAAGATTTGAACTCAGTGTTCCTGACTAATTGCAAGGTTCTATCCATTGCCTAGCACAGATGCTTTTGTTATCAATAAAATGGAAATTCATATAATGTATATTTGTTAGTCCTGGAGAGCAGGGACTGTCTTCTGCTCCCCTTTTTTAGCACAGTGCCTAGAACTTAGTAGAGCTTAATAAATATTTATTGATTGATTTTCCAAGTGTTTTTTTTTTTCCCTTCTAAATGTAGTAGGTGGAGGGGAGGGTCAGGAGGGAGCGAGAATAAATTCCTGTTAACTGGAAAATAAAAAATCACTGGGATAGTTTTCAATATCAATGAAGATTTTCAACTGTTCTGATGCCTTCTTAGGTTGAGTGACTTGCCCAGGGACACGCAGCCAGGTATGTCAGAGATGTCTGTTTCTGACTCCAAAGCCAGATCTCTTTCTACTTTGCATGCTTCTCCTCATACAATGACTTACATATAATTACAACAAATGCAACTGGACCTCATAATGAATCAAACAGCCCATCTCAAATCTTTCAGGTGACCATGGATAGAGTCACCTTTGCTTACCTGTTTTTCTTCATCACAGAGGAGTTTTCTGGTTGGGGGTGGAGAGGGATAGGACTCTGGGGTAGGAAGCATATAGGAAAATTATCAGGATGTAAAAATATAAGAATGTCAATAAATATTTAAAAGGAAATTCACTCGAAAGCACTACTCAATTCATATTGACCTTTTTTTTAAAGCATTACGTCTTTTTTATAATATGAGGGATCCTTGATGCTTAAAAGAAGGAAGGAAGAAAACAAGCATTTATTAAGTGCCTACTATGTGTCAGGCACTGTGATAAGCATTTTACAGTTAGTGTCTCATTTGATCCTCACAACAGCCTTGGGAGGTAGGTGCTATTACTATCTCTAAACGAGGAAACTCAGGCAGATAGAGATGGAGTGATTTGCCCAGGGTCACGTGAGTGAGTGAGCTAAGATCTGAACTCAGGTCTTCCTAATGCCAAGTCCAGAGCTGTGACTTTAGTCACTGAGCTGTGCTGGAAAAGATTGGAAATCTGTTCTCCAGAGAATGCTTCTTATTGAGGAAGTGATACAGAGGAAATTCTGTGAACTGTCTGGAAGAGTACTAGCTCCTCCTTTCAGATCCAGACCGGCTCTTTTTGGGGTTTTTATTTTGGACTTTGAGATTCCTTCTCTTTGACCAGGAAATCAGTAACAACATCCTTATAGGGAAAGGTTCATTTGGGGTCACAGGTGGGGCTCCTTCAGTGAGTGTCTATTTCTCAGCCCCTATTAGGTAATAGGAACGGCCTGAAAGGCATTTTTTTTTTCATTCTGTGTCATTCAATGTAAGTGAGTCAGTGGTAATGTTATTTACCAAGCTCTGCCTTAGTAAAAGCTAAAATCATCTATTCTTTATAAACCATTACTATGCACAGCATTTTTTTTTCTTGGTGCTAGGTCAAGGTTAAGGTTTGTTTTTTTTTTTCATTCACAGTTGTGCATGGTTGGATTATTAATACCAAAACCTCATGCCTTTACATCCCATTGTTTCAGAATTTATGACCATTTGGACCAGAGAGAAGTTTCTCTTCAAACTGCCTATGGAAAAAATGTCTATGGTGAGAGCAAGAAAGGAGAAAATTCTAAAGCTTATGGAAAATAATCAATCAATCAATCAATATCCATTAAATAAATACCTACTAAGTGACAGGCACTGTGCTAAGTGTGGACATATCATGAATCCAGCTGTCATTTCCCATTTCCTCTTTACTGAAATATGGTTAAAAACCAGGAAAGAAATTGACTTAGCTGTCACACCACCTGTGCATTCAAATTCTTGCACTTTAGTCAGAGGAGAGCCCTTTGGGCTCTTACTCAGAGCTCTATTGACTTTTATTTACTCTCCTATCCAGCCTATCTTTCCAGGCTGATTACACACCACTTCCTTTCACACACCGTTCTCTTCAACCAAGCTGGTCCACTTGCTGTTCCCTATACACATACCATCTCTCACCTCTGTACCTTTGCATACATATAGAACGATCTCTCTCCTCTCCTCCGTCTCCTGAGGCTCCCATCTCCCTCCAAGGCTTAGCCTGATCACCATCTCCTTCAAGAGACCCTTCTTCAATTCCTCCAGTTTCTGGTGCCCCCTGGACCCACCAATAGCTTTGTATTTATTTTATATGTAACCTATATTTACCTTTCCTGTGAAGGGTGCTGAATCCATCAAATTAAATCAACTAGCATTTATTAAGTGCCTGCCACATGTCATGAACTATATTAAATTCTGGGTATATAAAGAAAACACACACACACACACACACACACACACACACACACACACACACACACACACAAACTGCCCAGTTACTTGAGGTAAGGACCGATTTCATTTTTCGATCCTATCCTCTGTTCCAGGCACAGCTTTTCAAAATATTTGTCAAGTGATTTAACTTATATATAACTCCAATAAGCTTAGTTATCAGGTTTCTAAGCCCATAGAAGATTAGAAACAACACCTCGGAAGGGAGATGAGTATCTGGTAATACGTAAGCAAATGGAAACGAAGGACAGGTTGACAGTCTGGCATTAAGGGAGGAGACAGATAATACCAACAAAAAAATGTAGAAAAAAATACTGTAATTTGGGGCCATTTAGTGTAAGAGAAATAACCCTAGACATCTCAGTAGGCCCTAAGGGCCTGTCTCTATTACGACACAATCCAATAATTGATGTTCTTGAGAACCTCAGAAAAGGTTAAATTCAGTTTAGGAAAGAAGGAAAGTAAGAAGTTTTAGAAAGATTTCTATTCAAAAAGGCAGTTAAAGGTGAGGAGTGGAGAAGGGGGTGGGGATGGCTGCAGCACACAGCTATATATAGGAATTTGATATTAACTTCTACTCAGAGTTTTTCTATCTTTTTGTTTTTGTGGTGACCCAGGTCTTTACAGAAGATAATCTGTCCCTACTCACTTTATCCAGTCTGGTTGCTTTTTCTCTAATGCCTGATAATACAGTGGATCAAGATTGGCAGCCTTCTAACTCTGTCTCTGTCTGTGTCACTGTCTCTCTCTGTCTCTCTCTCTGTCTCTCTCTGTCTCTCTCTCTCTGTCTCTCTCTCTCTGTCTCTCTCTGTCTCTGTCTCTCTGTCTCTGTCTCTCTGTCTCTCTCTCTCTGTGTCTCTCTCTCTGTGTCTCTCTCTCTGTGTCTCTCTCTCTCTGTCTCTCTCTCTCTGTCTCTCTCTGTCTCTGTCTCTCTCTCTGTCTCTCTCTCTGTCTCTGTCTCTCTCTCTCTCTCTCTCTCTCTCTCTCTCTCTCTCTCTCTCTGTCTCTCTCTGTCTCTGTGCCTCTGACTCTCTCTCATTTTCAGAACTTCCATTTCATTTGCCGCCTTTGCATAGCTATCTCTTCTCTGTGGTTTACCCCCATCTGTATTTGTATTCCCAGAATCCACTAATCTCCTTGCCTTTAGGAGTTCAGGACCTGGCCACAGCCTGCCTCTCTATCCGAACTACAATTCCCATTCTTGAGGGATTCGGTAAACCATTGGTCCCTTGAAAACCCCGGACTCCCAATTCTACCCTTTCCAACTTGTCCAATCTACAGCTGCTATCCACCTCAGTCCTGATCAGGGATGGTCGCTCCTAAGATCTCCCGTTGTGGTGGCCCCTCCATGATCTTGGTGCTGAAATTGCAGTCTCCAGTGCTAATCTCCCATCTTTCTTTCTCTCTCTTGGTTTTATTTCTCCTGAGCCCTCTCTTTCCCCTCTCACCTCACTCCCCAATCTCTCTCCCCTTTTCTGCTCTCCCAGGCCAGCTCCTGGGCTCTGGTCTGATTTTCCCCCAATCACAGTTTTAATCCTAGAGATAACTGATTCAACAGTGTGTTGTCCTCCCCCTTGTCTCCCGGGCTCCCTCTTCCTTCTGCTCCTAAAGCCCTTCCAGTCTTTGACCATGGATTGCCTTTGCTATCATCTTTGCCTGCTTCTATTCTTGCAATATGGAAGGAAGTCATGATTCAGTTGTGTCCACATTTGTCCCATCTATTTTCAGCTGGGTCCTTGGCTGCTCGGATGGCATCCTTTGTCTTCTTTGATTGACTCTCTATTATGCACCCTGCCCCCACCCAACAGATGTTCTAAACCTACTCTGGTCTCCTGAAGCCTGCAAGGCTTCCACCCCCACCTCTCAGGAGATGACCCATGTTTTTACTGAGTCCCTTACTTTATTGAGAAAACTTGAGTCCAGTTGTCCTCTTCATCTATAAAACACATTGTCGATTCCCTGCAATCCTCTCTCTTTATTCCAGTCTCCAA